ATAAATTCTTTTTATTTTTCAATAATATAAATATTGTCATATTTCAATGATATAAATTCTTTTTATTTTTCAATAATATAAATATTGTCATATTTCAATGATATAAATTCTTTTTATTTTTCAATAATATAAATATTGTCATATTTCAATGATATAAATTCTTTTTATCTTCCAACGTTATAAATATTGTTATATCTAACTGATAAATACTTCTATTTTCCAATGATACAAATACTTTTATATTCCAACGATATAAATACCTTCATATTCAATATTCAAATAATATAAATAATTTTATAATATAAATATAATTTTATAATCATCATTAGAAAAGTCGAGAAGTCAATGCAGAATATACAACTGATAGAAAATAATTTTAAGGTAAAAATTCAAAAGGCGTCTCCGGACACGTTTAGTAGAAAGTGTTAATCGTCAACAACTTGATAGCTTATTTGAAACGACAGACTGTTTGCTTTTGTTCTTCGACTCGAGTCTGCTTTGGATTCTCATGGAGGAGCATTCCTTAAATTTTCTGTTACCAGTTGCCAAGCGTCTTGTATATTAGGTCTTCCAAGAAGAACATTGTCCAACGGATATTTTGCATTCCAATGGTCCCTGGGTATTTCTTGTAGATGTTCTTGTGCTGAATGTGCACCTGGAAACTTCTGCGTCATCAATTTTTTGGGAATTCAATTACGGAAGAAATCAAATCGTAGATTTTATTACTGATTTATATTTGGTCCGTTCTATAAATAACTTGGTATTTTTATGCACCTTTTATTTTTGAACTTTTTTATCGTCTCTTATTTTTAGATTTTATTTTATTTTTGTCGCTCTACTTTGAGACCAATGAAACTTTCTCTGTCTAAAATATATTTTCTTTTGTAGATCTAGATTTATTTGTAGATCTAGCTATAGATTTGCCTATGGTTCTATTATTATCTATAAATCTGTTTTTTATCTTTGAACGTTGAGATCAAGAAAACTGTTTTCATCTAAAATACATTTTCCATTGTTATCTAGAGATTTATCTATAGATTTATTTATAGATCTATTTATGGTTCCATTATTATCTACAAATCTGTTTTTTATTTTTGAACGTTGAGACCAACGAAACTTTTTGATCTAAGATGTATTTTCCCTCTCAATCTACAGATGTATTTATAGATCTATCTATAGATCTGCCTATAACTCTATTATTACCTATAAGTCTATCTATATATCTATTGTTACTCGTACATCTATCTATACGTCTATTATTACCTATAAATTTATCTATAGATCTATCATTACCTCTATGTTTATCTGCAGATCTATCATATATAAATCCATCGACAAATAATAAAGGAGAATATATTGCAGATTAAACAAATATTTTGTTCATCTGAATGTTTAAAAATAAAATTAGTATACAGAGACATTATTTATGGGATGACCCAATATTTCACTTGGAAAATCTATGTATCTTGCGAAGAATAATTCCACAAGCTATTTCAAACAAACTTACGTACATACATTTCTATAAAATTATAGAATAAATACAATTTATAATTTACAAGAAGTATCCAGGTATTAAAAAAATCTTCACAAATCTACCTTGCAAGCTATCTCAAACATATATAGCTATAGAAATGTATTTTACAAACAATAATTTCACAAACTACATCAAACAAACTCAACGAAAGCATAAAATTTATCACGCTAGTCCCTGAGAAACCTATGTCCACACATTTACATTAACGTTGAATGCCATGGGGCTCACCGGTGACCCCCAACCAAATCGAATGACTACAGTTCACTTAGTTAACTAATATTTGGAACAATTATTTGAAAAAATTTGTATATTGTAAATAATGCTACCTAATACGATGATGTTCAGCTAGATGGACATGCAATAATAATGCAATTCAGTTGAATGATTTAATATTATATCTTTCCCATTCTGTGTATTTTCCTCTATGAAATTGTGTAGCATTCAACGTGTTAACCCCTTGCCTTACAGTAACGTGTCAGACACGTGGTATAGATTTTAAACAGAATCGAACAAGCACGAACAATATTTAATCTCTTTCAATTCAAATTTAATATTATTCTTTCGTCAATTATTATACTTCGGAGCAAAGATTGATATAGAATATGCCTCTGAATCTGTTCTTCTTAATAAAATATTAACCCTTTGGTTACATTTGACGTATCAGAACATCATGTATTTGTTTGGGCATAGTAGCACATGACGTTCTGATATGTTGTTGAAACTGAGACGAGATTTAACTAGTTCATTCTGGTTTATTTCAAAGTAACGCGTATCTATTGCAACAGAACAAATAATTTTAATATTTCAATGAACCTTGCTTGGGATACACAACCCTATAATGGTAGAAATAGAGAATATATTTTATCAAAATGATAGCGACAACTTTAATAAAAGTAGTGATCTTTAACAATCCGATGAAGAATTTCTTAACGATCCTTTAAGCGATAAAAGGGAATTTCAAAATGAAAATGAAGAATATATCGAACTAGAAAGTGACGATAATGAAATTATTCCCAGACGTAAAAGACATACAAGATGCGATAATGAATCTTCTCATGAAAAATTTAGATGAAAATTATTAACAATTTGCTATGTATCATAACCAGAGTTTATTTATTTCAATAGTATTCTGTAATACCAACTACCCAAAGTTATTTCACCATTACGTAGGAGTATATACAACGAACAACACGAAACAAATTAATTCTTACATAAAATCTGCTACGTTCACTTGCCCACAGAATTAAATGTACTCTGAGTGCATGTTTTCAAATGAACATTTCCCAAAGGGTTAATTTCAAAGCAGTCGTATCAATCATTTGAGAAATAAATCACAAGGCAAGGCGTTAACCCTTTGCACTTGAAAGTTTTTCACTAGAAATATTTAATATTCTCCCATGAGATGCAGAGACGGTGTTCCCTGAAATGAATTAATGAGGAAAAATATACAAATCAACCCTCTACGGGCTAAATTTTTGTTCATGATCATAACAATGATTTCATAACATTCCAAGATCACCAGTCCCACAGTTCTCCACGGATCCGTCCGAATTCTTTTCTCCCGGCAGAGATCACGTGACGCAGGAGCCGTTCCTCAAAATATTTCCGTCCCGTTCGACTGCTGCTGCCACTTTCTTGCGCAATTGTCTAATTGCCAGAATAGAAACGTTACGGGAAATTGACTGTATTTCAAACAAATTCGAATTCCCGGATGAGTAACGGTTCCCCCGGTTCGTTGTACAGGTTATGTTCGGACGTCATCGTTGACAGTTCGACGATTTAGAATGTTCTTTCGAAATCGTCAAGGAACTTCGATCTGTCGTCGCGAAAGAGTGTCGGGAGGGAAAATGATGTTTCGATGATTTATGAGGGATTTAGTTCTCGTTGATCTTTGATGAATGTGAATCTGGGGAGGTTTTAAAAGGGAACAGTG